TTTAGCTGAGCCATCCTGCCACCTGTTGGCAGCTCAGCGGCTGCTCAGCTCGGGCCAGGCATCAAACCACTTTTGCTCAGAGCTCAAACTCTGGAGCGAGCTCTTAACCAACTGAGCTACTGGGCCAGCCCCCAGCATTCTCCCTTCTCAATGAGCTAGAAAGGCAGGAAGGGAGAGGGAAAAAGGGGGGAAAAAAGGGATCTGGGAGGGGTAAGGTCATTACTTAGGGCTTGCAGGTAGTCCTCCATGTTCTTCTGTGAGACAAAGCGGTAGTAGCCGGTGAGGTTGGGAGGCATTGTCCAAGCTAGCCAAGATGGAGATCAGGACTTCAGGAGAATGTAGGAAACCGGGTGAGGTGGGGAGGGTGTTGTCTGGCAGGTGGTGCTGAGAGGCTCCAGGCAGGCCTCCACACACACAGACAGGCTTGTGTAAAGGTCTATGCTCACGAGGGTTTTTATAGCGCTGGGGCCCTGTTGCAATTAGAGCTCCTCCCAGACCTCCTCCCTGCCCCCGTGATGAGTTTGCTGTGGTGTCTTCAGCCTGAGAGAGGGGCAGGGACTTGGCAAGGCTGTGCCTGACCTAGGCTTTTCCTGAGGAAGGAACCTGGAGCAGGATCTGGGGCTGTCAGCCATCCAAGACTTGAGCTTTTCCAAAGGTCAGTTTTGGTTTCCAGTCAATCTCTGGCAGGCTTGGGAACCATCCCAGAGCCCCTGAGGGGTAGTCTCTCCTGGGAGGGAGCTGGTCCTGCTGTGTGGAGTGGGGTTCTCCCATGCTCACCCGGGGATGAGTTCTAACAATATCCTGAAATCCTGGGGCTGAGTCAGGGATCTTGAAAGGTTTGAGGAGGAGAAGGTGGGGAAAGATGGGGGCAGCCAGCTGACCAGAAGCCAAAGTGAAGAAAATCCTATAGGGCTGCCCCCCCCCCCCCCCCGCCATGGCTCCTGGAGAGAGTTTTGCTGTCATTTCAGACTCTTTGTCTTATAAGGCCATTAGGAGGGAGGTGAAGAAACTGCTTTCCCAAGCACCAAGGGGGTTGCAGCAGCTTGATGAGGTGTTGAGTTCAAAGTCCAAGCAGGAAGGCTAGGGAAGAGTTTGGTTGGATATTCTGGAGAATTTTACAGTCTTTGGCTTGGGATCCAGCGATTTCCTTCTCTCTCTGGAGTGATTGATGATGCCATCACCCCCAGTCCCCAGCCCTTGGACAACCCATGTTTACCAGTATTCCCATGTACCCACCCCCCAGCTACCCCCCCATCTCTGTCTCTCAAACACACCAACTTCCCTGGCTTCAGAATCAATTGGGCTGTTTAATCATGCTTAAGGAGGGAAATTCGGGGAGAGGGAGAGACGGAGGGTAGACAGTGGGGAAAATTCCACCTGGTGGTGAACTGTCCCGACTTGTGTGTGTGTGTGTGTGTGTGTGTGTGTGTGTGTACACATGCGCGCGCGCGCGCGCACACACACACACGTATCTCACTTTTCCTCCAGTGTCAGAGCCCTTTCCACCGCTCTTATGACCATCCTATGGTTTCCTCAGAGAGTCAGAGAGACCTGGGGCTGGGAACTGAAATGCTAGATTCTCTCTGGGTTCAGGCCGTGGGTTTTGCTTCACGGTTCCCAGGAGGCACGCAGCAGGGATTTGCTGATGGAACGGGCTGTGTAAAGAGGTTAATGCAGAGTTGGGGGTGGGGGTGACGTGCATACTGTCCCTCCTCGCCTCCCCGAGGTCTCCGTTGACGTCTTCCTTCCTCACCCCCGGGATTCTAGCTTCTCGATTCTCCCAATGTCGGTCTTAGTCCCTACCCCCTCTACAGCTTTCCAGCTTCCTCTCCAGACCCCGCAGTTCCTTAGCTCCCACAAATTGCAATCCGGGGAAAAAGCCCTAATGAGTACTCCCGCCCCAGCTCCCCAGTCCCATTGGCTCCCTCCCCCCCTGCAGCACCTGGGCCCCCCAGTCACCTGATTGGCCTGAGGCCCCATCAATCCTCGCCTGGCTGTGCTGACGTCATTCTGCAGTAGAGGGGATGGGGTGGGAATGAGAGAGCGAGAGCGAGGACGCCGGGCTGGAGAGCGAACGAGAAGCCACTGCAAGCCTCCCACCTCAACCCACCCAGGTTGGGGTCTGCTCAGGTCTGCTCTATGGACTAGTGTGAGCGGCAGGCTCCTTTCTGCCTCTGCCCTGCTGCCCGCTATCTTCCCTCCCCTCCTTAGATAGCCTCTGCATCCCTCCCCCAAGGTGGAATAGCCGGCTTCAGGCTCCCAGGGGAGAGCAATTGCCTGGCCCTGCCCTGCCCTGCTCCACACCACACCACACCATGACCCTCCTACTGCTGCCCCTCTTGCTGGCTTCCTTATTCCCCTCCAGCTCCTGTAACAAAGGTGAGTGAGGTGGGGGGTGGGGGCACTGAAAAAGGGGTATCAGGCAGAGGGATGTGGGGTAGGAGTGGGCAGGAGCCATTGAGGCTCTCTGGCACATGACAGGTGTTGGTTCTTCCAACCACCCCCCTTCCTCTCCGTTTTCTCAAATCTGGCCCTTCTCCTCTTCCTCGCACTCCCGTGCTACACCCTCCTGTCTGGTCCACCTCTCCCCATGTGCTTCTTTTGCTCCCCTTTGGCCCCCATTCCCATCCTGGGGTCTCTGTCTCCTCCTCCCCCAATTTCTCTCTGCTGGAGATACCTCAGGTCTCAGAAGGACTTGCCCTGAGGGGTGATATACATCTCTGGGTGGCTCTCTGGGTGGCTCTCCATTTTTACTGGGGTGTGCGGCAGATCTATCTGGTTCATCTCCATCCCATCCTGGGGAGGAACTGTTCCTTGAAGCTCAGCAATTCAGAGCACGTGTGTTTTGGTTCGTTCCTCTGCATCCATTCCCTTATGCCTGCACGCAGCTGGGCTGTGGGTTACCAGAGCTGCCCTCTCTGGCATACAGCAGATAAATTCAGTTGGGTGAGGCCATCAGAGGGACTAAGAGGGAGGGAGTGTGGGAGGGGTAGGGGAAGAGGACTCAGGTAGGTGGAGAAAGACAGGAAAGGGCAGAAGCGGGTGTGTGGGGGGAGCTAAATGAGAGGTGAGAGAGAAAACTGAGAAAGGGAAGGGAGATAAGGCCTGGGTGAGGGATAAGAAGGGGTTGGAAAAGGGTAAAGGTGGAGGCAGAAAAAGAGAGGAATGAAAGGGAAGTGAGGAAGAACAGCTGAGAATAGGAGGGGAAGAGGCAAAGAAGTAGGAGACAGAGAGCCTAGAAGTGAGTGGAAGGAGATGGACATAGGGAGAGAGTCAGTGGCCAAGAGGAGAAGAGCAGAGTCAGGGATAAGCTGTGGAAAGGGTGCCCAGCACTGGCCTCCCCTCCATCGTCAATCTCTGACCTCAGCCTGGCTTCTTAGCCTCCTGCCACTTCCTGTGCTGTTTCTGAGCATCGTCTTGTGGCTTTCTCCTTTGCCACTAGAGAAGGGGGTGATGGTGGTCATTGGCAAGAAAGAGGCAGGCTTTCAGATACCAGAAGGCTTTTTGGGGTGGGATTGGAGGAAAGAATGGAAATCAGGATTCATTGCTCACTATGACATACTGGGGACAAATTGCCTTTCATGACATCTTTTTAAATGATGTCTTCCTCTGCCCATGTCCTACTGATGGGCCATCGTGAACATGCTATGGGAGCCTGGGAGTTGGCATAATGGGATTAGATAGAGCAGGCAGTGGAGGTTGGTGTTGAGGGGTGACGTAGAAGGGGAAGGGAACATGCTGCGTCTTCCCCCATTGCCTCTTACCAGGCTGGTGGGACATTAGTCCTGGGAGGAGACACCGTGGAGCTGAGTCTGGTAAGAGATGGGGAGATCTGGAGGCTGAGTGTATCCCACATCCATCCAGAATTGACTGGTGGTTGAAGGGAAGTACGGTAGGGTAGGTAAGAATTGGAACTAAGTCATGAGTCTGTATAAAAAGTGGGGTTCAGGGAGTGGAATGTGGGGGTTTGGTGGCCTTGGTGAGGGGACATAGAAATGTGCTGGTTATGAATGTGTTCTCTTGGCTGTCAGAGTGAGAAGCAGGGAGGGGATTTGTCATGTTTCTAGGCCAGCTCGATAATCCCTTAAGATGTCGGCTCTGCTGGGTCCAGTTATTTGGCATTGATTCCTCTGCTCCACCCCTGCCCCTCTATGTCCCCCTCCCTCTGTCCTATATATTTTCTCTCATTTCTCCTCTTCCCTCTACTCTAGGAGAATGGCCTGAGGTTGGGGCTTGGCTTGGAGAAGTGCAGAGTAAAGGGATCAGGATTGAGATAGGGTGGTGCAGGTGGTGGTGGAGAGGATAAAATTAGGATTCAGGAAACTTCTAGATCTTCTTTTCCTAATCTCAGCTCTGCCCTTAATTTCTCCTTTTCCTTTCCCAGGGCCTTCTGATGGCCCACCACTGTTTCCCGAATGCCCAGTCTTCACTCTCCAGCACTTGATTTCCCTAAAGAAAATTCTCCACATTCTGACCATGTTTCCCAGGGGACATAGGCTCCCCCCCACCTCCTTTTCCAGGGCAGGCTGTTGCCATGGAAACTTTCTATCCTGCCATAGGAGAAGGCTGTGACCTCCCTCAGATCCTCTGATTCCTTTAATAGCTGATTTCTTGTCCTCAGTTCTTCGTCCTGCAGGGGCTTCTGCAGAGTGTGGAAAGGGTGGTGATACTGGAGTGTGAGTTTGTCTAGGCCAACAAGGGTTGTGTGAGAGTGGAGGTCCAGCTCACAGGTGCTTCTTTTCCTCTCACTGGGGGGGTCAGCCAACAAGCACAAGCCATGGATCGAAGCGGAATACCAGGGCATCGTCATGGAGAACGACAACACTGTCCTGCTGAACCCTCCACTCTTTGCCTTGGACAAAGATGCCCCCCTGCGCTATGCAGGTAATTGGGGTTGGTGGATGGCAAGGCAAGTAAGACCGAGAAAAGTGGTTGGGAGGTCAGAGGGCAGCAGAGGAGAGGGGAGGTCCTGGGAGGGAGAGCAATGAGGAAGTGGGGAAGAGACCTAGAAAAATGGAAGAAGTAGGCTTAAGGAGCTGAATGGGCTACATTGAAGCTGGTGGTTGAGTAAAGGGGGCCAGACAGAAGGACACAGACAGACAGGGATTAAATGCATCAAGATTTTGCCAGATCTCAGACCTGGTGGCTCTGAGAGGTTGCTGCTCAGGAAGCTGGCATTGGAACTGTGTGTTCGATAATCATTGCTTTCACATGCACAAAAAAGGGATGGGTTTGGGAGGAGAGGTGAAGTGGGAACCCGAGGCAGGGGAGCTGAGGCCAGAAGCAGATGCTGGAGGTGGTGCAAGAGCTTCACCCTTCCCTCCCTCCTTGGCCAGGTGAGATCTGTGGCTTCCGGCTCCATGGGTCTGGGGTGCCCTTTGAAGCTGTGATCCTGGATAAGGCAACTGGAGAAGGGCTGATCCGGGCCAAGGAGCCAGTGGACTGTGAGGCC